CAATTTACTGACTTAATTATCCAGAATCATAGACGTAAAAGAATGCCAATTATGCGAGATTTGATGTTCTCACTGCAGTTACTGTGAACATTGGATATGATGCTATACATAAACTAGCAGATTGCCAACGTTTCGAATGAACTTGCTGCTTACAACTTCAGGATAGACGTTGGTAGATATCAACCGAAACTACACTGCGTCAGATCACAGACGATGATAAATATTCAAGAAACAACCACCCTCTGTCAGTAGAACATAGAAGTTAAACAACAAAAATAACAGTGCCTGCCATTGGACATGAACTCGAGCCAGCCCCATCCACCTCCGATCCCAACAATCTGTCGCTTTAAGATCCCTATTGTTGCTAATATATCGTTTCCTTCCTCATCTTCAAGTTGACATCTGTTCACGTGTCTTCCCTGGCGGAAATCTATGTTCATTTATTACGTACCTTACATTCCCACCCCAACTGTGTTCTCCTTAGCTTCACTGTCCAGCATACAGCAGGACAGTTGCATCAATGGCAGAGTGTCTTTACGAAGCGATCAGTTAGTACAGGCATGCAAATATTTCCCTGAGGATCTAATTATTTTCTGAAAAGTGTGCTTTATAATTGACCTCAGAAACCAAGACCAGATTTTCTTACCAAATAAAAATGCTAATTCCGCTTTCCAAATAGTTCTTGATGTTATCCCCTTGGCTAACTCTTAGATCGTGAAGATGGAAGTATCGCTTTCCTCCGAAACGTCAGTGTACTTCTACCGGACAACATGGTGTCATATTCAAGAAGAGTGTACTCCTTATATTACTTTCTATGTTATAATCCTCTGTGTCTAAAATGCAAATTAACGACAGCACCCACCGTCTGTGTTACAGTAGTAAATATTGTCTTCGTTTCGAGAGAATTTATGCCTCCTCTTTCACTGCCTTGGTGGCGGGAAATTGGCATCAGATGAATTTTGACTGTGTAGAATAAAATTAATCTCTCTTCGTTCGCTTGGATGCTGGGATGGTGGGTTCGAATCCCATTCAGGGCGTGGATATTTAGTGTGTGTATGTGTTTATTCTGTGTTTGTGTTGTCCTGCGTTTAGGTAGTTGCCTTGCGACGGGCTGATCACTCGTTTAAGGAGTCCTTCCGTCTGTGTAAATATGATTACAGAATTGAATAAGAGGCTTGGGCCCTGAGTGGCTTGGAAGGGTCACTGGAAAGAGCTAACGGTTACGAATTATGATTGGCCAAGAAGATGTATACAAAATAATGGGGCACACTGGTCTCGGTTCCACCCAAGCGAGATCGCAACTACCTTCGCTGCAACTGATATTTTGATGAAAAAATTAATAGCGGGGACAGCTGAGACTACGGGTTGGGCGGCCGGGATTTGGTTCCGGCAGGAGAAAGAGGTTTTTCTCTATTACACAGCTTCCAGAACGGCTCTGGGGTCCACCCAGCCTACTATTCACTGGGTATCGTGTGCCCTTTCCTCAGAGATGCAGTGTTTTGCCTCCACCTAGCACCGAGGTCAAGAATGGTGGAGCTATAATTCCACTTCCCCATATATCTTCATGGCTTAGTGCCTAATTGCATAATAACGTTACCTTACCTCACTTTTAATTTAACATGAAATATACTCAATTAATGCTGATGCAGATACGGCAAGTATGACCTGTGTTCTTGTAGGCAGTGAGGCAAATTGTAGTACACGACTGGGCTGTTGTGTTGGCGAAAGTTCAGTTCGTGATTAGGTTCAAGCACGGAGAAGCGTCCCTCACCACTTCTGTACACACGCCCACAAGAATAGCTGAAAAAAAACTAATCAGAACAAATCCGTTGTGAAAATGCAATGCAAATGAAGCTTGAATTTCCCTGTAGTTACCATCCAATCTCCCCTCCATAATAAGCACTTTTCCCCCGTCTTTCGCTGCCTCAAGCCTCTCGCCATTCTTGTGAAGCAAAGAAATTTTCATCCACCGTTCTGCTCGATTTTCTTCAACATTCCCCCCCCCCCCCGACTGTTTTCGCGCCACCAGAGGGAACTTTCCAGAATAAAAGTGTAAGGAAAAAGTTACAAAAATGTCTGCTTGTGTAATTTACTGTAAATTAATTATAATTTGTGCGTGGACAAAATGTAAAAGGTGAAGAGTTTGTGGGTTGGTCTCACGAGCGGTGGTACCAGTAACGAACAGAGTAGCAACCACTTTCGTGGTTACATTCAGATTCCTCCTTTCTTGCGGCATGCGTTTTCCAATGGCCATGTTTATTACAGTGCTACATACAATCTGCCCGCTATAAACATGTGGACACGTTTCTCAGACGCTCACATTCTGCAGTGCTTCTTTTCCTAAGCTCCTGTTCTTTCCCCCACTTTGGCGTTACAGCCCAAATTTGGGCCTTGGCCTACCTCCATGAAACTCTCCGTTTTACTTCGGTTAACTAAATCTTAGACATTCGGTAGGACTCCTTGGTCGGGTGATCAGCTAATCGCAAGGCCTCTACCTGTATACAAACACAGAAAATCACAGACACACACACACACACAAACACTAAACATCCATGCCCTGAGTGGGTTTCGAACCCACGATCCCGGCTTCCGAACGTGCGAAGACAGTACATGCCTTACACCGCTGAGCTACGGTGACCGGCGAAGCTCTTGCTTACTGCATGTACTCGTATATATATTTTTTTTAATAATACATGATCGGCAATCAGAATACAGTGCATTCTATAAGCTAATGTGTTGATCCGTGCTAGGTGTCCTAGCTACAGCTGAGCTGTGTTGAGGTTAAGGTCCAGCGATATTACCTCAGAGTTTTCAATTATTATCTGTTGGCCACTGTCTCTTGAGTCTCTGTTAACTGGTTGTAGTATTTGGCTGAGTAGTGGATTTGGGTGATCTTCTTTGTTTTGTATGTGCCTGGCAGTTTTTGTTTTGATGACTTCTTGGATTGTAGGGATGCGGAGTTCATTGTGAAGTGTGTAATTAGTTATATACCACGGGGCGTTCACTGTTTGTCGGAGTATTTTCGCCTGCTGTCTCTGTATGATGGCTGTGTTGGATTTACTGGCACATCCCCATAGTTCAATGCCGTACGTCCATATTGGTTTGATGATAGTTTTGTAAATTAGGATCTTGTTTTACATTGTCAGTTTTGACTTCCTGCCGATTAGCCAGTTTAATTCTTTGTTTTTCATTACTATCTGGTTTTTCTTTTTTTGGATATGCTCTTTCCAGTTTAGTTTATTATCCACGTGTAACCCTAGGTACTTAGCTGTGCTCTTTTGTGGTATTATGATATTGTTGATTCGCACTGTTGGACTGTCCCCATGCTTCAATCGAAATATTACATGCGTTAATTTAGCCTCTTTTACTTTAACCCTCCACTCGTATATATGAGAAGCATAATGTGTGTTGAAACGCTGACAAGAACAATACGCTCACTGGTTCCGTACAAGCAATATTAATTACAAATTCTATCCGTCATCTGACATCAATTTATGGAATACTAAGTTCTAAACGATATGATTGGCAGGATATTTAGCATTCATGGCTGAAATTAGAAAAGCACAAAAATGTTCAGAAAAGAATACTATACAGATGCGACAATTTAGAAAAAATTAGACAAAGATGGAAGTGTAATATTAAAATGAATCTGAGAAAAAATGTTCATGTTTGAACTGAATTAATCTGGCTCATAATAGAATTGACTCGCAGCTTTCTTTAAACACGGAATTGAAGTTACAGTTTCAATAAGAGCGGATAATTTCTTGAGTAGATGATGGACTGTCAGCTTCTCAAGAATGATCCTGCATCGATGGCTATCCGATGTTTAATAAAACCCATGTTTAGAATGTAAGGTTCTCCGGAGCTGCAGCTCAGTAATTGGGTGCGTTACAGTATCCGTGGAGAGTGAAGAGAGTAGCCATGCTGCATCACGGAACACGTGATCCTTAAGCCTATTGGAACGTGTGTGTTTGGCAGGTGTTCGCTTTTGAAGAGAGGGAATGTTGGCACGCCTGTTGTGCACATCCCAGCGTCCGTCACTTGGTTGACAATACCACGTGGTTAAAATTTGTTATTAATCTGCTTCGAGATCGATCGAACAGTACAGTCTTTGCAAAAGGGTCTAAACATCACGACGCAATTCTTTTTAAAAGAATTTCAGTTGTAATATACGCAGGTCACGCTCTTACGAGCAGTTGTGTTCCAGGATATAATTCGGAATACGAGGCTTCATAATGTGAATCGCTGTTTTTCGTAGCCACAGTATCATATCTGGACGTTACTCTGCGACTGACCAAAAAATGAATACCAAAATATACAAAACCACAAACTGTATTGCCTGAAATGACAAAAAAAAAGGCATTGAAACCCGACTATGCTCTAACAAGGATATATCATTTGGGATCTCTACGTTATATTGTCGCTTGTATCAGTGACTAAACACGGGGTTCGGATTGGTAATTGGATTCAGTAACCACCTACAGGTAGTAACTATAAAATAATTATTACACTATTGCTGATTTACACAATTTACAATCACTCCACACTAATCGTCTGAGTCTATTTCCACTAGTCTTCACTATCCTTTCCCTGACAACGGATTTATAACACAGGAACTAAATTAAACACTCCCAATATCACTGTACTTCAGTACGTGTAACGTCACACACTAAGTCTTCTAATGACCTCTGAGCAAAATTAGGCAAAAAGTTTCCCGCCCAAGTAGTTTCCAATGCCTCCGGTAGATGGGGAAGTTATCGGGTACCAATGCCAGTAGAGGGCCGACCTCGCTGGCAGAAAGGGGAGATAGCGGGCACCAGTATCAGTAGGGTATGGCGACAGTAGAAATTAAAGGGGGATGTACATAGTCGTGGTGCATGGGGAAACCCACCCCCTCTATACTGAATAACTGAATAGTTAGTTCGGTGGTAAATAGCTACTTTGTTCGTTGTTTTACTAGTTATTTTAACAGCTTCTCCCATCTTCAACCTACTCTTTTCTTGGGGACGGTAGCTGCATTCGTCCCTGGTTTCATTGCCGTGTTCGAAGTGCTCCCGAGATGGAATGGGGTGTCAACCTTAAGCCTTCGCCAAGAAAAGTCTGGATCTGAGAACAACACGTATTTAATAGCAATTAAACACAAATTCATTTGACATACAACAATAATAATAATAGCAACAAAAAATAAAAGAGACTCCGGTCATTTATATAAATTTGCAACAACCACGAAACTCTGACCTCGACCACCTTAGTCGGTCCAGTCTGAAACCCAAATAACGTAATCACTCAGAGCTGTCTGTCTACTCCAGAACCAGAAAACCGCCAAAACCCACGTAACATTATCTGGTCACACAGAAACAATGAAGCAAGTCCAAACAAATAATACTAGAGAAGAAAACAGAAAACCTAGTTGCAACATCCTAAACGAAAATCTTACATTACCTTTCAACAAAAAAGGCGCCTTGGCCTCAAGGCCGGAGCGATGAATAGAAACATAATTTGGAGGGACTACATGGACATAGAATTTCGCGGCCTACTTCGCCCACCGAGAGTAAGCAAACACAAAACTATCTCCACCCGCACCGAAAGAGGTCTTCCTTTCCAAAAATGGCAAATCGAGTGGTAAAAATGGATGATGGGACAAAGGTAAGCGAGTGAGGACTCGAATGCTGGGGAAGGGATGAAGATTGGGGGGGGGGTTCCGGGCCGGAAGGCGCTACTGCCGAACCTTCAGAGTAGAAAATGTGGCTCAATTTTGCTATTAAATTAGTTGATCGGACAGTTATTCATCCATTCAGTTAGTTAACTTATTTGCTTGTTTGTTTGTTGGGTACTTCGTTAGTTAAAGTGGTTTAAACTCTGCTCCTTGAATTTAACTACTTTGTTGGTTAGATGGTTGGCCAGTTAGTTACTTAGTGCAGTTAAGCTCTGCTCCATGTTGTTACTTAGCTATCCATTAAGTTGGCTTACTGGATGGTTAATGTGGTTTCGCCTCTTATCCGTATAGTTAGTTGGTCTGTTTGTTGACTGACTGGTTAGTTAGTTGATTGAACGGTTGGTAGGTTGTTTGGTTCGTTAGTCGATGGGTCTGTCGGTTGGTTCTTCGGTTAATTAGTTAGTTGGTTAGTTAAAGCAGTTTGAACTCTACTCCACGGAGTTGTATGGTTTTTCTGTTGATTTGCCAGTCATTTAGCTCAAAATTATTTAAATATTCAATTAGTTCGTCAATCACTTAGTCAATTAATTAATTTCATGGTTGCTTAGTGAGTTAGTTGATCATTTCATTAATTAGTCAGTCAATCACCTGATTACAGTGGCCGTCCGGCCTAAGGCATGAACTGTCTTCGTTTGCTTGAACACTGGGATCGTGGGTTCGAATCCCACTTGAGGCATGGATATCTGTGTGCGTTTATTCTGTGTGTGTGTTGTTCCGTGTGTAGGTAGTGGCCTTCCCACGTTCTGATCCCCCGTTCAAGGAGTCCTAACGAGTGCGTGAAAACCAAGAAAATTAAAAAAACGACCAAGCCCCAAAAAGGAATGTGGAACCACAGACAGGCAGACAGACAGAGAGATAGAAAGATAGACAGATAGATAGTCAATCAGTCTACTAGTCAGTCAACCAGCTAATCTACTAAGTCACTCGGTCAGCCAGTCAGTCAATCAGTCAGTTAGTTAGTTAGTTAGTTAGTTAGTTATCTGATTGAATGTTTGTCTGGGTGGTGTTTCAGCTAGTTAGCTAGATAGTTAATTAAAGCAGTTTTTACTGAAAGCATCTTACTCTAATTTTAAAAATGTATAGTTTTTATTTCAGTTCTACCTAATTGTTTGGAAATAACGTGGCTTCATCCCTGCAACGCTACAATAACGGATCATTATCACCAAAACTCTATGTGGCAGATCGCCACTGTATGCCCACCCGATAATGATTAATACGTTTAGAGGTCCCGGCTGCCTGTACAGTGTTGCCAACCACTAACCGCACGGCCACAAAGAACTTCCACTCTCATTAAAACTCGTGTTAAATCAGACGAAATGTTACACAGCAACACTGACAGCAAAGGAAGTATCAAACAGTTTACATCAGAGTTCCTCATACAGGGAATGAGGCTTGGGCGTGGGTTTAACCACAATTCACTGTGAAAGCTTGTTCAGTGTGAAAACACAGCCTAAATCCTCTATCAGCCTAAAACTATAACATGCTTAAACAAACAAAACAAAACTGATGGCTGTACAAATGAAAAAATAAATCAGCTACAAAAAATTCTCCTAAATTCCCTTCGAAAATATCACATCTTCCATAACTAAAATATGAAATCTTTCTCGTGAAGCTTGCTGTTACGTAAACAATTAAATACGTTAATAAAGGAGAGGCAAAGAAAACATGAGGTCATAGAGCAAATGACGAAGTTGTAATTGTGCAAAATAAGGGCAGTTCCCACACAACGTCAGATTTCAGTTAACTGGGACAAGAACGTATATTCGAACCTGCTCTAAATTATGCATCACACCATGAAGATATACGGAGAAGTGGAAGTGTAGCTCCTTGCATTCTTAGCTTCAGCACTATATAGAGGCTAGTTGTTAGCTTAGTGGCATTGCCGTTTTGCCCCCAGGGAAAGATCTCCGTCACTGAATGGGTATGAGCTTAGTTTAGCCCTGGAGCAAGTCTGGAACTGTGGAAAAGAGAGACACCTGTTGCACTTTCCCGCAATTGAACCTCGCTTCCTTGATCGTCAATCCCTTAGCGTGTTCCTATACTACCTGAGATATATTTGCTTCTGAAGAAAACAAATATTAATTACAATCCAAGCAGTGTAAACCAATTTTGAAGATGTGCACAGTAACAAAGCTGAAGGTTTTCGAAGGACAGATCGTCGGAACACAGCAACTGAAGAAGAACATTTCGTGCAACCATCAGATACTGTTAAAAACAAAGATTGAAGGAGAGGACTACCTGTTTTTAGACAAAGAGGCTACACGAAGGAGTTCCATTAGCTCGCCTGAGCAGTCTGTAAAGCAACAGCTCTGAAAACTTCTTCAGCACAAGCGGAAGGGATACACCGGGACTCGCAGCGGAACTGTTTTTAAGTTGGTAAAGAAGTCCTTAAATTTGGGTGTAATCCGTAAAGAGACTGATGAGGAGAAACGTCATGAAACAGTAATTATCTTGTAGCATCACATAAGCTTCACTGCTACAGGTACAGCCAGTTTCACGACATGTCTCAGTCTCTAAACGGTCGTTGTACACGTAAAATCATACAAACAAGTTCTTAATTCAGTAAAAGTTATTGTTTTCTATAACTGATATTCCAAAATGAGTCCGTCTTGCAACTGTTTTCATTATTACGAGTATTAAAATGAGTCAGTTGTCAGGATCCCATACAGAGATGTATAAAATTGGACAATAAAATGATTAAAACATTAGAACATATATTCATCAGCCAGACCTAAACCCATCCCATAGATTCATTTATGTCAAAGTCATTGCAGCAGATTTAGGGCCCACAGGCGCATATCAGTTCACTCCTATGTCTTCTGCTTTCCCTCATTCACATCTGTGTTGTCACTGGTAACTGGAAACCCATATTTAAGAATATTATTCACAGAAGCAGATGATTAATCTGTACAATCACCAAATTTTCATGTTAGCCTCTATATACAAATATCTAAATTTAAATGAATATGAAGTCCAAAATTTTCCAGATGTGTTCGACATTTGTTACTGCCACTGTAAGTATTAGTGCTAAGCTATAGTTTAAAATATTTATTCTCTATCTCGAATTGCAGGAATGAAATGTAAATATAAGAGGGCTATTCAGAACGCGACTTTAGGCAACTTTTGTAGGAGTGGGGGAGAGCTTGGGCGTGCGAGGTACCGTCACATAACACATTGTCTTCTAAACAATCATATGACTGGTCACCTAGTGTTTGTTTTTGTCTCTACAAAGTGAGTGAGCAGGTCACCAATCCATACTTTATTTTGATTTTTATTTATTTATTTATTAACCTATTGACATAATTTAAATGCTACATTTGGAGCATAGCTCTGTATGGGGCTGGTACTTGGAAACTTAGGGCAGTAGATCAGAAACATCTGGAAAGTTTCGAAATGTGGTATTGGAGAAGGATGGAGAAGATCAGTTGGACCGATTATGTGAGAAATGAAGAAGTGTTAATTAGAGTCAGTGAGCAGAAGAATATCCTACACGAAATAAGAAAACGGAAGGCTAATTGGATCGGTCATGTCTTACGCAGAAACTGCCTTCTAAAAGAAGTTACTGAAGGAAAGATAGAGAGGTGGATAGAAGTGACAAGAAGACGAGGAAGGAGATGTGAGAAGATGCGAGATGACCTTGGGGACAGAAGAGGATACTGTCATTTGAAAGAGAAAGCTCTAGATCGCATTAAGTGGAGGAATTGTTTTGGAGGAGACTGTGGACCTGTCGTCTGACAGATTACTGATGATGATGATGATGATGATGATGATGACGACGACATAATTTGACGGCTGGAAGACAGCCTCCCATAAGGATTAAATAGTTACTTTATTGGCTGCGAAACATCGTCGTAAAAAAGTCTAAAATAGTTTACATCGTAGTTACTTGGCAACGGATATAGGAAGTCCATACTGAAGTTTTGCGATAATTCTCAAGTACTAATTCTGAAGCTTTCAATTTATTTTATGAAGATAATAAATATATTGCATAAATAATAAGAGGCCAATAAGTAATTCGCTTATTTATGTTTCATTTGGCATAGCTGACATTGCCTCTGTCTATACAGTCGAATGATAGAATGAGAAATTAATCATGAATTTGAATGATTCATCAGCGGAGCTGCTGTGTCCTTCTTTGAGGTCCTGTTCCGACATTTGCCCAGGAAGTGAAGAAAACTACAGAGAGCCTTAGTCAGAACAGCAGGTACCTCAGCCGTAATTATAACCCGGGGTCTTCTAATACGAATTCAAAATTAAATTAATATGGAGTGATGGTAAGAAAACACGAGATATATGTCCGAAGAGATGATTTCTGGATCAGGAATCGAACTGCGACCCACTGCACACCGCTAATCTGCATATGAATATTAAGAACTGTACGGTTTATCGT